GGGGGGGGAACACAGCAGAGAGAAAAGGGAAGGGAGAGAGAAGGGTGGCCCCGCAGCGGCCGCAGCCACCGCGCCCGCCGGCGGCGCCGGGTCTACCGCGGCACGGGACGGGGCTTAGTTCAAAGCGCCACCACCAGAGTGCGCTCCGCGCCTCTTCTTCATTTGCATCAATTAAATAATTTATTTAAATTATTTGATTGAGATTCTTGCTGTTTCATGACTTTAGATCTTCAGTTCAACCTAAAGGCTAAGCGCACCTTTAAAAACCCTAGCGCATTAGCGGGGTTTTATGTCATTTTCGTAGTCAGTCCGGTCCCTCCGGGGAAGGTGCCCAAGTTGCGCGTCGGTGGCCTCGGGTGATTCCTCCAGCCAGCCCAAAACTCTCAAAGAGGTTCCGACAATTTTCTGAGCAAGCGGTGAGCGGATAGTCGAATCATGAGCCCTCCATCTATGGATTCAGGATTTATCGCCTTGACGCTAAGGCGGAAATCGTCAAACTATCGATTAATCGATAGTGAGATAATGGGGAAGCGCACGTAGAATTTCTCCAGCTCAGACTTCCCCTAAAGACCAATCCACACAGGTCAGTCATTCCCGTGGACGAGTTTTGGTAGGTACTCTACTGCGCAGTGACGTACTATTGAGTGCTTGCAATGTATTTCTTATGGGAGCACCCATTGTGACGTACTATTGAGTGCAGCCGAGTTACGGCACTTACGGCCGGGCGGGGAAGTGGCTTTCAAAAAGATGCGCAATGACTGACCTGTGTGGATTGGTCTTGCTTCCCCTCGCGGTGCTCGCATGGCACGCTCCGCGCGCCTGGCGTAAGCGTAAAATGAAAAATACGAAAGATTGGAAAGGACCCCGCACACCTCTTATGGGAAGCTGCACCACGAGGAATTGCCTTCTGACTTATATCATTGGATTCTCCTCAAGATGCTGATCAAAAGTTATAATTGCGCCAACTTTCTACGATGCACCGTTTTCGCAAAAAAGCTAAATGAAGATTCAATTATTTGGCGATAAAAAGCCAGAAAGATTCCTCATTTCAGCACTCGAGTGAACAAATCAGGGGAACTCCCGCACCCGCACCGACCGGCAGTCTTATCTCGGATTCCGCACGCCGTTTTCCTCGACCATCCAAATCAGTTCCTCTCTCTCTACCGCTCTATTCACCTCTTCCCCATGTCTCTGAATCGTTGATCAGTGATCGACATCCAACGTTGCCTGGTTTCACTAATAATTTTTAGTTTCATTTTCGTTTACATTAATTTAGCGGTTGTGATAGAGCTTTTTGAAGGATTGAAGGAGGAGAGGCCTTCAATTCTTCGAGGCACCGATACTGATCTAGGAAGCAACATATCGTGCTTTGCGATTTATCGATTTTTACGCCATTTAAACGAATGGAAAAGGATCGATAAACAGGGTGTTCGCAGCGAACACCTTAATAATCGATTCTTTACCACAGGTTTAAATTACATATCAATCGATATATCGCAATTCACGCCACGCCACTGATTTAGCTATGCATGTAAGTAGTTCACTTTAGCACAAATACATTCATTAATGATGGTTTTAAAAAAATAAATTGGCAACACCGCCAATTTCGTGAGGAGCATATGAACAGGAAAACGAGCGTCAAACGGACGCATCGAGAGTGGGAGGAGGGGGATAGCCTTAGAGTCGGCAGGTACAGATAAGAAGACGGACACGCGCTAGGTACGTTTTTTCCTTATTTACACCGGGCCTGTAAATGCTTTGTTCTTTTTTATTCATAGTCGCCGAATAATTGAATCTTCACTTAGCTTTTTTGCGAAAACGGTGCATCGTAGAAAGTTGGCGCAATTATAACTTTTGATCAGCATCCTGAGGAGAATCCAATGATATAAGGCAGAAGGCAATTCCTCGTGGTGCAGTTTCCCATAAGAGGTGTGCGGGGTCCTTCAGTGAAAAATTTCATGAAATTTCCCAAACCTGTGAAAAATATGAAAAATTGGACTTACTCGCCGCAAATCGACAGATAATATTGACATCAATACTTTTACTTAGCAAACATATAATTCCAGCAAAAATATATAGTTCCTGTCTTTGCTCTAATTAAAATAATTTCTGAGGCCGAAAGGCAACAATTTTTACTATCAGTGACCTTTTTTCTCATTTTTCTTTGCGAAACCGTTGGCTGTAGAGGAAAATGTCTAAGGACCGTCCCTGATCGTGAATATTTCGAATATCTGGAGGAGAAATGAAAAAAGTAAAAAATCCTCCCCTCCGCCATGCGTTTGATATCGCGACTCCTTGGCGCGGAGAAGGATCTTGCCGGGGTAGAACTGCTTCCCAGTGGCGCGGCATCCATAGTTTCGCAGTGTTCGCCGAACACCCTAAAATCATTTGAAATAATTATTAAATTGGACGTATTTCTGTCAAACGGAACTAAGTGCCATCACGGTAGGAAGGTATAGAGGGGGGCTTGGATTGGCGGCGGAACCGGGTGTCGGGCTCATTCGTTCCTATACTCTCAATGCTTTTCCATGGCGCTTATAGTTCCGTTTGACAAAACGCGGTATCCGGGATTCTAAATTCCTCAAAAGGAACTCAAATTGGCGCTTAGTTCCGTTTGACAGAAATACGTCCAATTATGGCTAAGAATGTGGGAAACAATACATAAAAGTAGACGGCAAATAATTATCGGGTGCCATCGGAACGGCGGGGCGAGCTATGAGTGGGGGTGGTGGAGAAAAATTTCTGCGGCGATGAGGAGCCGATCGCGGCTGCTTGGCGCATGGCGCGGAGAAGGATCCTGCCCACCGCAACTGCTCGGCGCACTGTGGTCCACGGACTGGATTTAACGGAACTTTATTCGGAAATGCAATGTATCGCTTTAAAAGTTGATGGGTTCTAAGGACAGCGAGGCTTTGTCAGAGGTTAGTAGAGGTCAAAATAAGGTTCGATGGTTCTTAAGACATCAGAATAGAACTAAAGAGGATCTCGGAAAATTTCTAAAATTCCTCAGAAAAGGAAAATCGTCGCAAAAATACCAAAAAAGCTCGTTCTCCGAGGAAAATCGACTTTGACGGAAAAATGAGGGGTGATAGGAAAAATCAAAGGTCATATTTGAGTTTAGCAAGTCAAAATACATAAGAATCTATGTATCACACATCGAAAACATTTTTAAAATGTATTTCAAACAGACTCTGAGTCCGGGAAAGGTTTTTACACAAAAGGTTCGGAAAAATTGGCATATGCCAATTTCACTCTCCGTAGAGAGTTTCTCGGTCAGGATGTTAATATTTTGTTAAAGTAAGAAGTACAATGAAATCAGCGACCCAAAAATCATTGATTCCGTTACCTTTTAAAACGGTGCATTGCATTTTCGAATAAAGTTCCGTTAAATCAGTCCGTGGGCCATAGTGCGCCGAGCAGTCGCGATCGGCTTCTCGCCCGCGACGCTAAAATGGCCCCACCACACCTCTAGAAACGTTTTTCCTGCCACTCATATCGGTACATCGAAAACAGCGGAGCCACGCGTAAGATCAACGTGAAAGAATCGATTCTTCGATCCTATCGATCCTATCGAAGATCGATAGGAATGCGCCATCACTGTTCACTACTTAGTAAACAAAATGGCGCACGTCCCACTAGGAAGTGGTCTTTGTGATTTTCTCCGTAATCGAAGTTTACTTTCAGATTCAGACCTAATAACTTTTTGTGTAGCTCATGAACTTAAGTTTTCTAAATGTGAAATGTTACTTCCAACCGTTTCGCCCCTTTAATCACCAATCTTATCTTGTATGGTCCCTAGGTATGCTATGCCTACTTCCACTCTCATCCTCAAGATGAAGTTAGCTGAGTCAGATATCTTTCGATGTAATGTCTCATTGTAAGTTTTAATTCCACCTCATAACTTTAACTCGATCGCTCACTCACTCACTCTTTACAGTGAGCATCCGTCTCTCAATGAAACGAGGAACTCAGGGACCGTCCTTTTAGTCAAGGTCTATACCTAGCAAACCTGAGCATCCTCTTTCGACTTGAACTGAATTTTTTTCTTTGTATTACATTCTCTGACGGACCACAAAGTCAACTTTTGAATCCATCTACCCTATTACCTACTATGTCAGTGTGAGTGCATTGATCAAATGCTAAGATGTGGTTGATGGCCATTTTGATTAACTTATCTTGCTGGCTAAGTTATGGCATCTCAGTTAGAGCAGCAGACGCATTGTATGTTGAGACAAGAGGCGAAAGACCCTCCACTAGTATCTTGGCCATTGTGGAAGCTTTTACTTTCAAGACTTCAGCATTCTACTGTTGACTTACCTACCTACATGGTTGATGTTCAACAATGTGTTGGCAGTGCCGTTGTGCAAACAAGCCAAAAATGGCTGACGCTTGGGAAACTTGTTTGTCTCATGACGTGATCCGAAGCTCATCATCGACCATGTAGGTAAGTCAATAGCCGAAACTAGGGTGATGAGTGTTGCTCCCTAGTAATTGTCCATGAGGAATTGTTGAAACCCCAAAAGTAATAGCTTCCACCTGTCGCCAAGAGGCCAGTGGAGGGTCTCTTGTCTCTGGTTGAGACAAATGTCCATCTCTGATTACCGCCGAATCAGCACCACTCAACAGGTTAATACATGCAGTCAGATGGCACTAATGATGAGTGGTGACCTAAACAATACTTTACTTTTGTCTCAACATATGATGCACCCGCTCTAACGGCCATTTTAATGTGACTTGTCACTGTACATATCAAGAGTGGATTCATCGTACGTTGAGACAAAAGTCAAGTATTGTTTACAGCCATCAGTGGTGCCATCTGACTGCATGTGACCTGTTGAGTGGTGCTGATTTGGAAGTAATCAGAGATCGACATTTGTTTCAACATCCGATGAGTCCGCTCCAGCAAGGTTGAACTGGCGTGTGACACATTTCATCGACTAGGTGAAAAAATCTTGACAATTTCTTAATTTTATCTCAAAAGAAGACATGCGCCCCTGCGCATGAGTCCATAGAATCATTCTAAGCGAAGAAAATAGCAAAATTTAGAGAAACAAAAGTAAGATTTGTTTTAGATAGAAACCTTGCATTCAATACAGCCATTAATTTCTGCATCAAATGCTAGGTTTTTCCCCCCAATGGATCCTCCTTTCATTTCTCTGAATTTTGCCAATTTTTTTTGTTTTGTAAACAATGATTCTGTCGAGGCCCAGACGCAGGGGCCATTGTCTTCTTATTGGCTATAAACTAAGAATCTGCTAAGATTTCACACTTTATCAATGTGTCATTTCGCAAGCCACACAGCGGATCAAGCCAATAAGAGAGGTGGGACATAAAACTTCTTACGTAAACTGCACATTTTGATGTTTAATTTGTCTTTTTTTAAATTTTAAGGGGTGTTTCTGAAAGAGAATTTCCCAAGAAAACCAATGGAACCACTTTAAAGACCTCACAGTTTTCTATGAATAGAGTTATAAGCGTTTATAGTTTCCAAATTTTGTCCGACCTCTCCTATTGACTCGATCCACTATGCGCCAGTTTGACCACGTCAGAGACCTTGATAAATCACCTTAAGTAAGTCTTAGACATCAAGCGTCATGCTTTTTGAAGGAAACTAAGTATACATCTCAAAACAATTGAAACTACAATTTTGACTCTTTCATGGTTGTAGTATGGTTTGTTTCATGGTTGTTGCATCACTCCAAGAATATCTATATCTTGAGCAGCAGTGTTTGCAAAGTTGTGTGAGGCAGCCTTGAGCCCTGCGCAACCTGAGCACAAGGACAGCCTTCTATTGTCAAAATGTATTTTAATGACCTAACTATTATGATTACAGAATTGATCAAGTCTTCTTGGCTTTGCTGCAATAGTTGCAAAGGTGAGGCGAGCTCTGGTTGGCAGCACTGGTGTCTAAATGGCCGAAGCAGGCACCTCGTGTCTCATTGCTCAAGAATTAGACTCAACAGCCCTGAATGAATACAGTTTAGCTATCTCGAGTGCTGATATTTACCTCGATGCTGCAAACGGGGACGGCAGTAAGTCACTTTTGAAATTTCTGCTCTCTGTCTATTTCGTAGTCTGAGTAAAAAATTGAGGACGTTTTAGTAAAAAGGCGCTTGAGGCCGCTGCTGGCTGCTAAGATTTTGCAATTTTTTCTAGCATTTGCGGCAAAGAAATTCATTCGCAGTCGACTCACGTCCTTACCATAGTGAAGAAATAATTGAAGCAGATTCAGGAAAAAATTCATAGCTGAGCTGTCAAATAAGGTGCTTACAACTAAAGAACTATGTTGCACAATCTTTGCAGCACTGGAAGTCTCGTACGCCCTTTTACTGAAAAATGACTCAAGTGTTCTCAGTAGTTTTCAAGGCCACTTATTTCTCTTCGTAAGTCTTCAGGAGAATGGAACAGAATAGAGCCTGAACTTTCGAAGCAAGTCATGAAGTCGTTGTCTAAAAATAATAGAGTTTTTGTGATGATTTTTAAAATCAATAGGTTTAAGCAATAAAGGTCTCAAAAGGTAGAGAGATATTGCAAGTTTGCAATGGGAATGGTATTTATTAATGTAGAAGAAAATAAGGACATTTTTCTTGGTAATATAATAAGGAGTAATGGAGGAACCTTGATGCTCATACTTGTTTTATTTCACTTACATCTAGTACATGCAGAGGTGATAGGAGCCGAAGCTTTTCGAACATCTAGCGTTTATCATCAGGGGCTAGTGCATGCATAGTAACAGCGGAAGAGCAAAATAACAAACAACAAGCACTAATAAACTACATCATGCACATAATTGAATTAGCTCAAACAGTAAATAGCATAAGTTTGAAGCTGTACGGGTAAGAAAGGAGACTCATAGAAAGTTCATAAATTTGTTACTGTGCAACTAGATATAGACACTTGTTCCAATGTATTGATTGATAACTGCTGCTTTCTGTGAGCAATCACACGAACTACCCATAGATTCATTTCCTGTTCACCTCTGTTCTATCTTGTTATGCTCCTAAATAGAGTCTTCATGCAGTACATTAACAGCTCTAATCACTTGTCAACTTGCTCTCTCCTTTCTTACCTGTGCAGCTTCAAACTTTTGCTATTTACTGTTTGAGCTAATTCAATTTTGTGCATGATGTAGTTTATTAGTGCTTGTTGTTTGTTATTTTCCTCTTTTGCTGTTACTCTGTATGCACTAGCCCCTGATGATGAGCGCTAGACGTTCGAAAAGCTTTGGCTCCTATCACCTCTGCATGCACTATATGTAAGTAAAATAAAACAAGTATGAGCATCAAGGTTCCTTTATTAGTCCTTATTATATTATTTATAGATGCTACTACGATCATTTTTAATTTTTCTTGGTCACAAACATTACATTTTTACACTTTGAAGTGCAGTAAAAACTTTTTAAAAAAATATTACACCTTTGCGAAGGGGGTCCCCTTTTTTTTCTCTCACAGTTTCACTAGAAGAATCAAACCCTAGAAATTGGCTTACTGGATACACTGAAGTCACAGATATGACATAAACTCGAACACAGCACTAGTTGAGATTAGAAAATAATAAGTCACCAGCACCACCGGCGTCAAGTGAGCCCGACTCGAGCTCTGATTGGCCACGACGCACGAACACTGCCGAAGCAGTCCGGGCGCACCCGAATCCGACTGACTGCACGGCTCTGGCAGCGGCAGATTCGCGAAAAGCTTTTTATTTCAACCCCCTATTTCACGAAGAAATCATCATGGAGAGCTTTCAAAATTGTCTTAAAATTATTAATCCAATCCTGAAATTTTAATCGACGCAAAGAAATCAAGTCCAGATCCAAAAATTGATTTTTCACAAGTTTTTAAAAAGACCACATTTACACGTATTCGACGTAAGGCGAACCAAGGTGTATACCATGTGATGTCACGAAGTCCTAGACCCAAAGCGCGGGAAAAGACCCGTTTCAAATGGCTTTTGACTTTGAGGAGTTTTTTCTCAAAGTTTCGGTGACCGGAAATTTTTTTAAAAAAGACCTCAATACTCAGTAGACCTCAAACTTTTATAAATTGAATTAAAACGATTCCATGCAACTACCTTATTACCTTCTCATGACACTTGGAGGTGTCACAATATAATGTCTTTGGCTAAAACATGAAAAATTAAAAAAAAACTGTCCGTAAATCCACAAATTTAAAGCCCGCATATTATAATGTATTAAAGCCTCCCCAGAAGTATTTAAGAGCATTATTGGATTGCATTTTGCAAAAAGGAACCACTAGCATTGCAATGATGCTAAGATTGTGCAACTTCATCCTTTGCAATAAAATTGCGGAAATCGTAAAAAACTATGAAATTTAGATGGTAATTTTTGTCTTAAATTCACAGTTTTTAGCGAGTAAAATAGAAACGATTAATGGATAATCAGGTTTTTCCTCCAAGACAAAAGAAGTTGCACAATCTTAGCAACATTGCAATGACAGTGGTTCCTTTTTGCAAAATGCAATCCTATTGATCCTCTCACTTTTAAAAATTTCATCAAACATCTTTTTGAAAGCAAATTATCTCGTGTGAGTCTTAGCAGTCTTTAGGTTTAAGTCTTGGCAACTGTATTCAGTGACTGTCAGAATATGAACCCTGTTTGTTTTTAGATAGTAACTATCTTATCTTATCTTATCTGACTAATGTGCGAGTAACCCGTATTTTCTTCCTCTTTCAATACCTACTCTCATTGATCGAAGTTCACTCGTGGCCAGTGGCATACTAAAATAATTTCATTGTGCTTTTCAATCAAAGAATTTTCTCTGTTCGGCAATTATTTTCTCAAGTTAGCAAGTACTACGGTAAAAGGAAAAATCTTGTAGATCTTGACTCTGAAAATATGGAACTCATAATTTCCTACTCTCTCACTCCAATGTGTTTTGAACCATTTTTGAGTGTCCTGTTATTCTTGAACCCTAATATCCAAACCCATTTCGCTCTTTTCTTCAGATGTCGAAATGGACTTAGGAGATCACATATCGACACCCACTCTAGATGGGTTTTTTGAGGTCTCTGAATCTTCGGTAGATTTAAGTGGCGCAGGCGATGCTGGTATCCTGATCGCAGGGGATTTGACGTGTGATGACCTCTCCAACTCCGCCACACTGGTTACATTACCTGATGGATCGCCAGCAATATTGGTCGGGCAGCTCGATCCAGGGGCTCCAGGTTAGTAGTACTTATTGTTAGTTATTTAACGGGGATGGCAACCTTAAAAACAAGTCTGGCAAAATTGACGAAGAAAAAAGTGCAATGAATGATGCCGAAATCCGTTTGCCCCTATCAAGAAAAAGTAGCTGAGCGCGTGACGTCATGAGCTCCGTCTCGCACATCGCAGTCTGCACTCTGCATTCTGTCTCCGGTGTCAAGTGGCGGATGCATGTTCGCAGGTTTGCTTAGGTGTGACTATTAAGGCGACTTCGCGGTGCCAGACTTGAAGTTGTGTGCGTGTGAACGGCAGTCACTCTGGGAGAGCATGACGTCACCAGTCAGACTTAAAATCTTTCATACCTCTGCCGATTTTGCGAATTTTTCATTTGGGACAGAGCCATTTTGCTTCTTATACCTGCCCGCTTCGATTTTTAATACTATCTCATTTTCGATTTTAGGGTTGCTGTCCCCTTTAAATTTCACTCAACCAGCTCAAATTATACTTTGGATCTGTCAGAAAAGAAATACATTCATAAACCATATCAGTGTCAAATTTGTTCAACTTTTGGTGGATTTTCTCAGAAACTTCCAGATCTTCAAACTTGAAGTTTGCATGCATGCTAATATGACTGTTGGCTACAACTGAAACCAGAGATAATAACCAGACGGAAATTTGTTTGCCTGAAAGTTCCATTTTATAAGTTGAAAGTGGGGCATATTTTTCACAATTTTTCTAAGCTGTATTTTGGCGTCAAAAAAGTCTTGTGTTAGCACCTATAACTGTAAATCCACCTACAAACCTAGTTTCAAGGAAAATTTTAAAAAAAAAGTTTATTAAGATAGCACTCCTAGTTTCCAAGAAACATTCACCTGAAGGTACAAATTACTCTCTTTTCAAATTGTGAAAAAGGATGGGACAAGAAATATTTAACTAGATCAATGTAGACGGGCGCTCCTCACTTTTGAATTATCGTAATTAGAACAGTGCATCATCAGACATCATCAGATCATTTTGACAGTAAAAGCATCCTCCACAAATCAGACAGAAGAAAAGTCATCTCATTTATTTGGGATCCACTTCTTACCTTGAATTTTAATTAATTGATTACAATATGCTGCAATAAACTTGACTACTTTTAGTCAAGTAAAATAGGTTTGGTCAAGAATTCTAAAAATTCATGTATTTTGGAAAAATAGTGATAGAGAGCAGGGTGTCTAGCGTCAGGATTTTCCCGATTCCATCAAGATTTGAGGTCAATCAGGATTTGAGGAAAAATCGGTCGTAAAATCAGGATTTGAGAAAAGTCGGTCGTCCAATCGGATTTTTTCGATTTGCACTAGTTTTTAATCCTTAGAACTTAATTTTAGAGTTCTGCTTTCGGATACGCTTATGCAGAAATTTTAATTTTTCTCTGCAAAAAACAGGATTTGGAAAAATTATGAAATCTGGATTTAGCAGTCAAAAGTCAGGATTTCATCAGGATCACCCAAAATGAAAAAAACTAGACACCCTGGAGAGAGTTGTGCATTGATAAGTGGAACAGGTACTTAAGTTTATTTTTGCAGCAATGGGCCTTTAAAGAAGATCTGAATTAAAGTATTACGAAACATGCTCCCTCTTCAATACTTCTTGTCAAAAACAAACACTGAACAGAAAATTTGGAAATTAACTCCTAAAGAAGATATGAATGTTTGCAATTACATTAGTTAAATGGCAGAATTACATTTGTGTTATCTAAATTCCATTTTAACTGTGTTTAAAACACTTGTTAATATCTTATTTAAGAGTTGATTTCTGAACTTTCTGTATTGTGAATCGCCTTTTACGAAACATTCTAAAGAGGATACATGTAATGTTTTCTTCTAATTCTAACTTTGACTAGTGGCTTATTACGCAACTTCTCAGATGGTTGGAGAGATCAAAACTAAGCATTAATTTAAAAAAAACCAATGGTTAATGGTTTTGGTTTAAAAAACCTACTGTCATCCATCTTCAGTTGTGGAAGCTCAAAATTCCACTCATAGGAAGTTTTAATTAAAAATCCAGCCAGGTATTTTCAGACATCTGCTTTTTATGTTTTTTTAACATTTTTGAAAAACTCATGCTGACTTGTTAATTTTTGTTCCAGAAACAAAACTAGTGGAAACAGCGATGCTCGAAACGTCTATACTGCAACCATCATTTTTAAAATTTATAGATCATAAAAAGAGCAAATCCAAAGAACGAAAAATCGTTTATGTTAAATGTAAGTCCAATAGTGATACTTAAGTCACTTTCATTGTTGAGTTTCCTAAAGTAACAAAACACCGCTTAAGCTGCAATTGCCAAAATGATTCAACTTTAGGTATACATCTTGCAGGGACAAACAGCTAGACTCTTGGAAATTTTTTCCAGAAAAATGAAGGAAAGTCCAAAAAACATTACTATTGATAATGATCAGCCTAGATGCTTTAAGAAGTATTTTTAATTACGATAAGTTTATCAGTTTATGTTAACATACTGATACATTTTGGTTGAAAAAAAATTAAGAGTAAAGTTAAGACCTGCTTCCAATTTTGTCCCTTGCAAAATTGGACTGAGTTAAGCAGAAAGGAACCAACCCACATTTTGGAAAAAATTGAGTTATGAGTGGTTTTGAACTCAACCATTGCTCTACTATCTATCGCCGAAAATTCAAAGTTTTTGTTGGAGCAACTTTTGCAGAAATTGAACTTGAAGTTTATCTTTTACATTGAGTCTTATGCAGGAGCCAAACTTCAAACCTTTTTTTCTCGGTTCGATCCCGATGTGGCTTGGTTCCTTTCTGTTTAACTCCGTCCAATTAATTAGAATTTTCTTTGTTTTCATGTATGCTCAGCAGATAGTTAATTTTAAAATCAGAGATGCTACTGTCAGAGAATACGGCAACATATCAGGGAATTTTAAATATGCAGAGCGAACTTGGAAATTTCAAAGAAAATGTTAAAGTGTGTCCAATTATGGAAGGAAAATTGTGAAGTCACATTTATTTGCTTTCTAGAATGAGATTGATGTTTCAGACAATGAATTTGGCCTGAAAATGATTTAAAGTTATGCCTCTTTAACTGTCTGGCATATATTCAATTGTCTAGGAATTTTACGGAGATGGGTCCTGAAATTTCATTTTCCAAATTCTGTAGCAACCCTGAGAAGTAGTAAGCGGCAAGTACCTCAATTTCTTTTTTCCTCTAACTAAGAACAAGGAGAGGTTCAAAGAAATAATACAGAATCTCACAGGGAAATTTTTTCCCCGCATCCCTAAAAGCTTTCATCCCCCTTGCTGTCTTGAATTGTTCTGATAACACATTAACTACTCAGAAGTAGACATAAACCACTTGTTGACCTTTTTTCTAATGTCTTTAATTTTGTTTTTTGTTTTTTTTTCCAGATGACTCTAGTCCTAAAAAAGTCAATTTAGTTAGTAAAGAAGTAGAAAAAGTTGTAGATAGTGAGAATGATTTAGCAAGTCTGATAATTAAAAGTGGAATTGCGGATGATCCAGCAACGACTCTTCTGTCCTCGAATAAGACTGATAATTTAGAAACTCAAACTCAAGACCCTAGTGAGAAATTCCTGTCTTCCATTAAAGAGAGAACCAAGGATAAAAGCAAGCGGGATAGACCACCTCCGAACAAACAGTTCATGTGCAGGCATCTCGGCTGCGGGAAACAGTACTCATCATTCCATCATCTCAAAGTGAGTTCTCATTACTACTATTCATTGAAAACTACATTTTGAACTTGATATCCACAGCAAAAGTGCAAAACTCAATTAGCGACATTCCAGATTCCTTATCACATGTTCTTTATTATTTTTTTTTTTTTTTTTTTTTTTTTTTTTTTTTTTTTTTTTTTTTTTTTTTTTTTTTTTTTTGTATACTAGTCAATGTAATCTCTCAGAAAACATTCTTGGTTTCTTCTCTGTTAGCAATATATCCCGTTTAAATTTCCAGCTTTGAAGTCTGCTTGTTTCTACTCGAAAAACTAAAATTAAATAAATAAACTAAATAAGTAAAGCAGAAATTTTGAAACACGGTAGTCAAGATGTGCACTTTGGCCTTTGATATGGAGGTATTAGGCCATGAATACGTAGGTATTAAAAAAGGAAAATTGGTGGTGGCAGTTTATTTTTATTCATTTACATCGCGCCATACTTCGGTGGATACAATTTGGTGTTGATATTCCTGCAAAATCTTAAATTTAAATTATGGAAAACATAGTGTAACATCCATTATTTCTGCTCAATTCATTACAAGGTATAAACATGAATCCTTTTTATAATAAAAAATAAAAACTATTTTCTTTCATTTGATTTGAAACAACAGAAATTAACATTTGTTTGCATAAGATACTCCTTAGTAGCCTCAAAGAACAAATAATGACAGTGTAGTTCATTTTTGTACGAGTGAAGTGCTGAGGTCTAGCTTTTTCAATCAGATATTGTTGAGCTTTGAACATGGCAGATTAGACTGCAAATGAATTTTGAACTGCAATCTTCTGTATAATACACCATCAGTACATTTTTGTGCCAAAATGTTTGTAACAGACTCCTTTTAACAGGCGTAGCAACATTTTTGTAACACAGAGGGGAAAAAATGATTGCAAGATGTTGGACTTATTTTCAAAAATAAAAATGATACATTTGAATTTAAAATGATTAACCTAATAGTTGCTGTTCTTTTAATTTGTACGAATCTAAAGACACTTGGTGTTGAATAGTAGAATGGGGGTGTCCCAAGTTTTTTCGCTATTCTGAAGAACGCCTATGGAAAAAACTTTACTCTTTTATTAAAATCCAAATGCTCTTAGGCTCCCATGGTGGTTGTGTAATGTAACTGACAGTGAATAGTTTGCATGCACTGCCTTGTCCTTTTTTCACATTTTCTTATATTTCCAACCCCTCATTTTGATTTGACCTCTCAAATAAAATAATTTTTCTTAAATTAAGTTAAGTAGTTACAAAACGGATTTAATTTTAGAAGCAGCATCTAACCTTCTCAATTCTCTATCATTCAAGTAAACTAAAATCTTTTCCATCACATCATCCAGTGAGCTGTCAAAATGTTGGACAAGGAATGTAAGTGCCACTGCTCCCCGCTGTAGCAAATCTTTTCGAATCCTCCCTCGGCTGAGTTGAACTTCTATGATATCTGCATAGATAGGGAATTCAGTTCTCAGGTTTATTGTCCCCAGAAACTGAGAAGCCTCTACATTTTTTGCAAAAAAAACCAGCTGACTCAAATCTTTCTTCAAAAGATCATAAAAAGTCATATCAGTTTCACCAATTTTGCTGCTTTCCATTTTGCAAATTTCAATTTCGCATGCCTCTCGAAAATTTTGCGTGGGTATCTCCGCTCTGATGAGTGGCTCTTCCAAAACTTTTGCAGAAGGTTGCAGTTTTGCAACTAGCATTTTGATACAATGAAATATGATCGTTTTGACATATGATGGAGGTTGAGAAGGCCTACTAAGCATAATGTCCCTTTGTATGTGATTTATTGAGTGTGTAGAATCTACATTAGCACCATACTGCAACAGTAGTTTCATTATGTCGTTCCTTTGATCGAGGCGTGCCTGTATGAAAGCCATCTGTAGAACCGGGTTTTTGCCAAAGGTGTCCAGGAGGTTAGGATCAGCGCCAGCCTCAAGCAAAGCCTCAACATTCCTAATTTCACGTATGCGTACAGCTTTGACTAGGGGTGTTGATAAGCAGAACCTATCTGCGTAAGAGTTCACATCAGCACCTTATTCTATCAAGAGCTCTAATTTCTTTGTATCTTCAGAAGCTGCATACCAAATAGGAGTTTTCTTGTGTTTATCTCTCTTTTCAGTATCTGCACCAAACTTCAAGAGAGTGAAAGAAGCAGTTACGGAATAAGATTGGTGAGTAGAAATACTGAGTGGCGTTCGTCCCTCCCCATTCTGTGCGTTTATGTCAGCACCATATTTTAGCAAAAATTCGATCCAGTAAGAACTGCGCTGAAATTTACGTGTAGCCAAATGAATTGGTGTTTCGCCTCTTGAAGGTGTCTTTGCATTAACATTTGCGCCTGCCTCTATTAGTACATCTGCAATGTGCAAGTAATCTTCTTCAACTGCACATAAAAGTGGCGTTTGAAATCCTAAATCAATGTCATGCTCTGTTCCGTACTTCAAGAGAAGTTTGACAATCTCACAGTGACACGCTGTAATAGCAACATGAAGAGGTGATTGTCCATATTTGTCTGTAGTATTCAACTTCGCTCCAAACTTTAACAGACTTTCAACTGTACTTAGATGCCCTTTCTCAGTTGCTGCCATTAAAGGCGTAAAATCATTTTGATTCCTCACATCAGTTGCTGCTCCATGTTCTAACAGTCGCTGAACAACTTGAGTGTGCCCCCTTTGGGCAGCTTCATACAAGGGTGTTTTCCCTTTCAAGTCAACCGAGTTGACATCTGACCGGGATCCTAGTAAGTTTTCAACAATGGTCAGATAGTTTTTCCGGGCAGAAATAGAGAGAGCTGTCTGTCCTTTGCAAGTTTTTAAATCCAATTGTGACCCCCACTTCATCAGTAACTCAACAGTTTCAACATGGCCATTTTTACTTGCATTGTAAACAGGCGATCTTCCTCTTTTATCGGGCAAGTTAATGATTGCTCCTGCTATTAGTAACGTTTCAACAGTACTCTTGTAACCTCGAGATGCAGAAATAGTAAGCGGAGTCTCTCCAATATTAGTCTGACTATCAATATCCGCCTTGTATTCCAGCAAAACTTGAATCATTTTTAAGTCACCTCGTAATGCTGCATAGTGGAGGGCTGTTTTTCCCTGGCTCACAGTGGAATTAACTTCTGTCCCTGCCTCTAATAACATTTCCAAAATCTCCAAGTATCCTCTCTTGGCACTTATTAGGAAGAGAATATTATAATTGTCACTGTGGAATTTTGCTGAGTCGTACTTTAAGAGGTAGTTTACCAGTTTCTCTGCGTTATTTTTTGTAGCATAGTGAAGTATCGATAATCTTTGTACTTCTAGAGTCGTTTTCGCTTCAGTACTCATGAGAGCTATGATGAGTTCTTGCTTCCCTTGCTCTATTAAAGTTTTTATAAATGTAACAGGTTGTGAATCAGCATCCCATTCCGTACTGTCTTCCAGAAGCAATTTAAAATTTCTCTCAGGATTTACCTGTCTCTGAAAAAGTCTTGCCTCCTTCTCCTGATCTCCAAATCTTGCTCCATTTTTCAATAGAACCTCCACCACCTCCCATTGTTTAGCTTTAGCTGCAATATACAAGGGAGAGCCGTATTCTGACCAGAAATTTAGACCATGGTCTACTAATTTTTCTACAAAAATTTGTACCACCTCTAAATGCCCTGCTGTCGCAGCCTCATGCAATGCTGTGATACCTTGTGCATCTGCGGAAGATTCATAAACTCCTTTATCTAATAGGAATTTGACAGTTTTGGTACGGCCTGCTCGAGCTGCAATTGAAAGAGGATTCACTGAGGAAATTGGCGCATCAAAAGATGTGGGAAGAAAATCTCGGAAGCATCTGAAATTTTCTTGGCAAGATTCAGTCTTCTCTGTCAACTTCATATCCTGAAAAGCCAATAAATACTTAAGATCTAGCTCTCTTTCTACACACCTTCGGTGAATTTGTATGAACTCCTTTCGTGAGTAGAGACTTTCCACCACCTCAGTGTCACAGTTTGCTGCTGCAAAAAGTGTAACAAGGTCTTCGTCTATAAGTACGGTGCTTTCTTCGGAAAGTGTTTTTGCAATAGCTGATTCCGAAAGAAGAACTGCGAACAACAAAGGAGAGTTCCCATCTTGATCCTGTACGTCAGGGTCTGCGTTGAAGTCTAATAATAATTTGACCATTGTTGCGTTTCTTCTAGCAACAGCAATGTGCAAGGGATAAAGAAAAAATCCATTTAATTCCTGTGTGCCTATATCATCATCATAGTAATAAGCATCATTAGGGTCAGAACCATTTTCCAGCAACAGCTTGGCAAGTCTGAAAAAATTCCCACGAACAGCCTTAAACAACAAATCGGGGTCATCAGTATTAAAAGAAAACCCATGCTGCAGTAGTTTGGTAAGAATGATCGAATCTTTCTCTGTTCCTATGAAATTGATAACAGTATGCAGAATAGTCCTATTTCTCTCATTATTTACATCAGGGCGATAGTCGAGGACATGAACTACAATATCTGGACACCTCGTTTGAACAGCCAGCTCCAAAACTGTTTCACCCCTCCAACTTAAGGCATTTACATCAGCTCCTTTTTCTAAAAGCAGTTTCACCAACTCTGTATGTCGGCTTTTAATAGCAGCGTGAAGAGGTGGTGAAGTTTTCAGTGTATTTTGGACTGCAGAAAAGGGTGTGGTCCGTTTCATAACCAAAGGACCCATGAATTCTTCATCTGTCCGTAAGTCAAAACTCTCAATGCGATAATCATAGAGGAGTCTCTGCTCACTTTTCACTCTTCTTTTGGTGTTTTCATTTTCACTTTTATTCAAATTGACAGTCGGATTAACATCCGCACCTTCTTGAATGAGATACTCAGCAATTTCGAAGAGGCCTTTCTCTATTGCAATGTGCAGTGCTGTCAAGCCATTGCTTTTTGCCGCATTCATGTCAGCACCATAGTTGATTAGCACTTCTACGATAGCCCTGTTTCCACATTCCACAGCTCGGTGCAAAACTGTACTCCCTTCATAGAAGTCAATGTCGAGGGGATATCTAGAATTAACATCTGCGCCATAAATTAGAATTTGGTTAACTATCTGAACATGCTGTCTGTATATTGCTATGTGTAAAGCTGTAAACGGTCCTAGAACTTTTGAATTAACGTCTGCTCCCTCACTCAGGATTAACCTGACCACCTTATTCTCGCCTCTAGCAACCGCGAAAGCCAGCAAGTCTTTATCATGCGCCAAATATTCTTTGTTACTCATAATTATTTCTTCTGTCTCTCCATTTTCTAAGAAATCAGTTTGGTTGGGATTTTCTTCGGCTCTTCGACACCTTAAAATCATTTTTGCAATGTCGCTTTGTTTCGTAACAATGGCATGGTGGATCCATGAGCAGAACGTTTCCATTGATATTTCAGTATAAAAACTGATGATTTGTATTATTTCCACCAAATTCCTCTCATTTATTGCTTTAATTACTGAGGTTCGTAATTTTGTATCCAGTCTCTCATTCCGTGTCCTGGAAGTCCAACTTTCATCAGAAATGGAAGAGTTAGTATCACTGTCAAACGGATCAATTAATTCAAGATCTTCGTCGCAGCTCTCCATCATATTTCACCGTAAAATTTCAGACATTAAATTATCATCTTACTACTTCATGAACTATCAAACTGGCTGAGCTAGTTCTGTCTATGTGTTCTTTTAATGCAAAATTCTCTCTCGGAAGAATAGAAAAACCATTATCCAAGGAGGTAGCAAATTGTTGACTTTTAAATCTCGAAGAACACCAAAACAATATACACTCCAAAAATTTTTCTGGAACCCAAGCATCCAATGTGTTGTAATTAAATTATCATTTAATCGTGTACTCTAAAACTTGATCGTAAATAGTGTCCGTTTAGTTTAGAGTTCTCCTTTCGGAAAAAAATTTAGAATTTGTCTCGGAAGGTAGAAAAACTTTGACACGTTTCAATCCTAGAAAGCAGTATTATTCTATCAATTCCTGCAGCAAAGCAGGCAGTGTGTTGTAGCAGGAGACTTATCGCTTCGCAAACCATGAAAATTTCAGTGTGATCGCACGCCGTTAACAAATTTCTCATGCGGTGATGAAATCTGCATTTCTTAGCCGCCGTGGCGAGAATTTTGCACGAAAACGGAAGAATCGCGTTACTGAGGGCATGATCTCGGATCAATACAGCACTCCCAAGTTTCGAGTGGGTAAATTTTAAAGCCACGGTCCCACAAGCAGCGTACGACGCGTAGTCGATCGCGCGGCAGTACCGGCTTGTTGCCTCGGACGCTAGTGATGCGAATTGCCTGATCACTCTGTGTTGCTCAAAGATTACTAAGGACTCCAGATACCGCACACCGTATACTTGCCGTAGGAAAGAAGCGGCCCCCCAGTCGCCTGCAGCGCCAGGGTAGGCAACCTGTGTAGCGGTATGCCATACTTTAGCCCACCTGTAATGGAAGTGCATGGGAAATTGCACTTCGAATGTGCAGATTATGAACGGCAAATTGCGAAAATGGTTCATTTTAGTCACTAGTCATGGTAAATGGACTCAAAAAATTGAGCAGAGATATTTGCATTAATTTTTTTTTTTTTTTGGGGGGGGGTTTTTTGGCATTTTTTAACGATTTAAAACATAAGAAAAGTAAATACTGTGAATCTTCAACCAAACTTAGCACAGCACGGCGAAACCGGTCAAACACACGGCAAACAGTATATTCGTTAGCTCGAAGTATGGCATACCGCTAAACAGGTTGCCTACCCTGGAGCTGCAGAGGACTACGGGACCGTTTTTTATTCCAATGCGGTATCTGGAGTCCTTAGTAATCTTTGGTGTTGCTGCTGATGATAACTGGCAACAAACAGCTTTAAAATCTTTGCAATCGGTCGCGTGGTTGATTTTGCGCAATTGGCTTCGCATCGCTCGCTGTCTGTGAAACCGTGGCTCTAAGCCTCAGCCGCGCCTCAACTTGGATTGGCCGATGAGTGGTGGAGTGTTATCGCATCGCGAGATCCGCAGTACCAACCCAAGCCGGAAATTTCATGGGTTGACTCGCCCGGTTTGCTGAAGTTTAGGTCGGCAAAATGATTTTTTCAGAAATTTTTGAAGCCCCTGACGCAGTTTTTAACGAAACGTAAGAGTAACTTTGCCCAATGCTCGTGAGGGCATTTGTTGGTCATAGGGGAAGGGACAAAATGTCAAAAAATGTCCTCACTTAGATCAAAATGAACTTATCTCGCGCTCAAGAAGTGATAAAATTTATGACGCAGAAAGGTGGCGCAATCACTTCTAACGCCGTAGAAAAATTCGAAGGTTGCCGAGTTTCATTTGACAAAATATTTTTTTTTTTTTTTTTTTTTTTTTTGAGGAAATTCATGAGGATTTTCCTTCGAAAATTTCGGAAGATGTAGCGTAAAATTCTGCGAATTTAAAGAAAGAAATTGGAATTTAAATTTTCAAGATAATTTAGCTTTGATCACCAGAAATTTGGCCATGTCTTACGGCCCATGGGGCTTTTTCTCTCAGCACGGCCTTCCATTGGACCACATTTCCCGAAAAAACTTACAATTTCAGGCTCATTCATAAAAGCACCTACTTACCTGCCTAGCAAAACTTACGGCACAAATGCTGTTTCTAAATTGAGCCGGAAATTGTAGTTCCCAAGTGCCGAATGAAGTCCAATTTATGGCGCCCCGTGAGGATGCAGTACTGAAACCGCATGCAGAATATTTTTTGCACACCAGATAAAGTCACAGCCAACCCCCGCCCCCCTTCTACCCCCCGTAAAATCAAGGTGGGGGTTCGTGGAAGACGTAGAAACGTACATTAACGCGTACACGGTGGTGTATACACGTGTATACACCACCGTAGAGATTATAATCTTTGCAATTGGTGAAAATGTAATCTTTATTCCCGTTTGCGACACTGAGGAGGCCTAAAATACGGGAACCAATCAGAAATGGATTCAAATTGTCTTAACTTTCAGTATAAAGGGACTCCAATCAAAGCCAGAAACCCGAAAATCAAGTTTGAATTAAGCTTGAATTTAATCTTTATTCCCGTTGGCGACACTGAGGAGGCCTAAAATACGGAAACCAATCAGAAATGGATTCTTATTGTCTTAATTCTCAGTATAAAGGGACTGTAATCAAAGCCAGAGACCCGAAAATTACCCCGAAACCCGAGAGACTCGAAAACTTATTCCACACCCACCAACCGCCTTACCCTCTAAATTATTCAATCTACCTTTTTCCAAACAAATAATTTTCTCTTCCACACTCAATTCCTACCGTATGTTCACTTTGTATGTTTTCCATTACCCAGTCTCTGGGTTTAGGAAGTCGCTCTACCTGGTATCAGAGCGTTAAAATGGTGAAGGGTTCTCACCCTCTCCCTCTTCAACTCTACTTTTTTTTATCAACCCCTCCCTTTTTTTCCATGTTTCTATATTTTTTTTTGCTTCCCACACCTTTAAAGTCGGTTCCTAATCACGTATAACCTCCGTTCGATAGATACACACTAGTCTGAAGTCATAGAGTGCATAGAGTCGTAATGTAAATGGGAGAGCTGGCGCCATGTTCTGCTCGACGAATTCCGAGCCCGGTGTGCGCCGAGTTCGGGTCGCTTTTTCGATACACTTCAATCCAAAATGACGGTGTGGAATATGTGGTAATTCCTATCTCCTTTGTTGTTGTCGTTGTTGTTGTCATCGGATGGCCGGGTACCCGTGTATCGTAAACAATCGATTATGTATCGAAAAAGTGACCCGGCGTCACACAGGAGTCTCGGAATTCGGGACATGGAAAATGCTTAAAAGTGGCGCCAGCTCTCCCACTTACATTACGACTCTATGCACTCTATGTCTCAAGTTGGCTGCAGGTGCTTAGACACAAAGCCATTAAATAGCAGAAAAAAAAGAAGAAAAAACGGTGAGTGGCAACCTGTACTACTCCCCCACTTCATTCCACTGGCGCCACTCCACTCTAAAATAGAAACGCCGTTATCGACCGCGGAGTCAGGCGCGGCTGTTAACGTCGTTTTTCGTGTCCACTGTCATTTATTGTGCTCGTGGATCTCAGTAGGAATCGTTTCACAACGCGCGACGAAGCCTCGGAATGTTCCACGGTTCGTCCGGCCTTGAAAAGTACTCGGTTTTGAGAGATTCGGCTCTCGGTTTCGCACCTCGGCGTTGACTTTGAAAATTATTCACCAGTCACCAGCGAAAAGTGCTCGTCGCAAGCTTTAAGCGGAAAGCGTTTGACGTTCAGGAGTTAGTTCTGTAGGCTCGCGATTAAAAATCCTTGAAAAGTGCTCGAAAAGTACTCGGTTTTGAGAGATTCGACTTTCGGTTTCGGACCTCGGCGTTGACTTTGAAAATTCTTCGCCAGTTACCAGTGAAAAGTGCTCGTCGCAAGCTTAAAGCGGAAAGCGTTTGACGCTAAGTAGATTGTTCTGAAGGATCGCGATTAAAAATCCTTGAAAAGTGCTCGATTTTGACGATAAATCCAAAGCCTCGAAAGTGCTGGATTTTGAAAATCCTTCACCAGTTACCAGCGAAAAGTGCTCGTCACGAGCTTAAAGCGGAAAGCGTTTGACGTTCAGTAGTTTGAAGGATCGCGACTAAAAATCCTTGAAAAGTGCTCGATTTTGACGATAAATCTAAAGCCTCGGAAGTGCTGGATTTTGAAAAGTCTTCACCAGTTACCAGCGAAAAGTGCTCGTCGCAAGCTGAAAGCAGAAAGCGTTTGACGTTCAGTAGTTTGAAGGATCGCGACTAAAAATCCTTGTAAAGTGCTCGATTTTGACGATAAATCCAAAGCCTCGAAAGTGCTGGATTTTTCAAAGTAGGTGTTTGGAAAGTGCTAGACTTGTACTCTTCTCTATTCACTAGCGGAAAATGCTCGTGAGTAAAATGAGAAAGCGCTCGACGTCAAACAGATCGTCGGTGCGGAAATCGCAACGTGCCATCTGTGAAAACAAAAGAAAATTTCCGATGTGTACTCTGAGTCCTCGGTACGACAGAGGCAGCGGCTTCCGTATTGCGCAGTCCTTCGAAGAACGAAAGATAAAAAGAAAGAAAAAAAATGAGAGAATCTCATCGGCGGAAATCTGGGGGGAAATCTGTGCGTGTCGGAGGAAATTTCAAAATGGCGTTGAAAATCCTTCATGAAGTGCTTGATCTTTATCGTCCGCGGCTCCGCGAACCTCGTATTTACAAGCCTCTTCGCAGTCTGAATGATGAGAGTGGATTATCATTGTGTTGCTAATTATAGCCGACCAGGATGTTTGTCATCGGAACGGAGACGTAAGTGTCTACTTTCTCTAAAATCACTTTTGCCTACGGAGACGATCCCACGATCGACGATCGAGCGCGGAGAAACCACTTATCTCCGTTTGCGACGTTGCAGACTTCCTGTAACACTTGCCTATTTTTTTTTGAAATATTTTTCGCCGTAATTTTTGGAAAATTTCCTTGATTTTTTAGAGTTTCTTCTTTGACAAAATTTTCACCGGAATTTTTGGAAAATTTCCTTAATTTTTTAGAGTGTCTTTTTTGAATAATTTGTCACCGTGATTTTTGGAAAATTTCCTTGATTTTTTAGAGTTTCTTTTTTGACAAAATTTTCACCGTAATTTTTGGAAAATTTCCTTGATTTTTCAGGGTGTCTAGCATCAGGATTTTCCCGATTCTATCAGGATTTGAGGTCTATCAGGATTTAATCCCGATTTCATCTGAATTTGAAGAAAAATCGGTCGTGAAATCAGGATTTGAGAAAAGTCGGTCGTCCGCTTATGATCCGTTAGTTATCCGCTATCCGTCCGTTAATTGGACGTATTTCTATCAAACGGAACTATGTGCATTAAGACATGAGCCCTAAGACCCATAAGAATATATGCATAACAGGGCTCACGTCATAATACACATAGTTCCGTTTGATAGAAATACGTCCAATTTTTCTCCGCGATAAGTCAGGATTTGATCGGGATTTGGAAAAAATATGTAATCAGGATTTAGCGGTCAAAAATCAGGATTTTAGCAGGATTTCCCAAAATGAAAAAAAAAAAAAAAAAAAAAAAAAAAAAAAAAAAAAAAAAAANAAAAAAAAAAAAAAAAAAAAAAACTAGACACCCGTTTTCCCATCTGCCATTTAAACCTATGGAAAAGGATCGATAAACAGGGTGTTCGCAGGGAACACCTTAATAATCGATTCTTTACCGTAGCT